TCTGGTCCTCAGAGTACGTTTAAAGCCTTCTACAATGACGAGCTTGATACATACGATCTAGAGTCCTGGGCCCATACTTTAAAATACAGTTAGGAGATCGTAAGTTCATCAGCCAATAATTGACGGCCTTTCAAGCAAAATCCTCCAATCATAGGCAAGAAAATAGAGCGTAGATACTTACGTTTACTTAGCGAGTCTTGAAAGTATGGCCCCTGCCCACTCCCGGGAACCGCAACCCAATAAAGGCAGGGTAAGTTGACTCGAAACCAAAGTAAGCAAAAAGGGCGATGTCTATAACGTCAAAAATGCCTATAAATGGGTTACTCAGTTGAATGCTCGCAGGAGGACTGCTCAGTAACGACTGGTCTAAGGTACAGTCTATCTCTCCTGTCGAACGTCTCCAATCGGTGCCTTATAAAATTTAATTTACAACCTTACAGATATACTGAGTGGACTTGTACGTATACAGCGGCTTTAAGGTCCTTAGAGTGATAGCCTTTCCAATCGGTGCCTTATTAAATTTAATTTACAACCTTACAGATATACTGAGTGGACTGGTATACTACGGCTTTGAGGTCCTTAGAGTGAATTTGGGTTCCTGCAACAAGTTAATAATTTATTTGCGATTTTGGGATTGAGCTTGCTTTCCTACCACTGGTGAAGAGACTGATTTCTAGGAGACTTAGTTTATTATATTTAAATTTGCATGTTTTATTAGACTGTTTTTATCCATTTTTATATCAATATTGGTGTCATTGTTATTTATTCTGTTTATTTGAGCTTTATGCTTCGTATTTCGATTATTCATTGGCAAGGATTAATCGGATGATTGCTGATATGCGTTGCTAAAATCAATGCATTGAACGGGAATACACCGTGATTACGGCTGTTTATTGCTGACCTCAACTAATTTTCAATATCTAAAGATGTATTTTGAATAAAAAAAATCCAATATTCACTCAAATATTTCATTATAAGGGTTGTGATTTTACAGAAAATATTTATAAGTTTATATCCCTCTTCCTAAATGTATCTCCATTGTTTGGACATTGTTGAGATATGTTTTGATTAACTGAAAATTTTTCAGATGCATTTTGTCATTCTTTATTGCACGACATGAGAGGGGTAAATGATCGAAATGTTCTTTGGCATTCAAGTTTGAATTGATATCTTCGAAATTTACCACTGAAACAGAAGCTTATATTTAAATTTGATTCATAATATGAATAAATGGATGTCTGCCCATTATTCTGAAATTAATTGTTCGATTTGAGGAAAAACTATGTTTTTTCATCGTTTTTGAATCTCTCCTATTTTCCCGTAACTGGGAGGAAGAGTTTCAGTGAGCTTAAGATTCTTTGAGACTTTGATGGTACCAAAGTCTCATCTTTTACTATCGAAAAATAAAATACGAAATAAGACACAATCCATTGAAAAAAAGTTTCTGCGCCATATTACTGCGGAAAATGAACTGAGTGAACAAAAACCTAAACTCCTTTAGTCTTCTAAACTTCAGACCCCGTGGGCTATATGTGGTTCTTGATGCCGCAACTTGCAGCAGCACAAGGAAGCAAAACTGCGACAGCCGAGACTTGCGGTTTAGTTTGATTTTTGCCAAAGCTCCGCCACGCCTTGATTGGCAAGCGCGCTTGGAAAAAAATTGGCACCGCGACATTTCTTCGCGGAAATTTTGGGTTCTCGCACTCAGCCTGCAGAAAATTTCGACAGCGAGTAATGGAAGGGAAGCTTTACGGTGTGCCATGAACACAAGTCTTTGTCTCAAAATGACGATATTTGTTGGAAATTTATTGTTTTGTTTTGTTATTTATTCGGTTGTCGGTCGTTGGAATCTCATTTTATTAAAGGCTAAATAATCATTATTGTCTCAATTCAATCACTTTCGTTTTGAAATATTCTTAATTTGCCCTAATTAAGAAGCCTAATATCTAAACAGAAATCTAATCAACAGAATTATACAATGTCTTCGTTTTAATTAACATGGTTTGCCTGAAATAGCGAATGATTCGCCGGCCATTGGTCCTCCGGCTGAGAGACAGAACGGTATTCGCGATGTTCCGCAAAAAGCAAATGGAATTGACTGGAACGCTGTATTGCGGTGCACTCTATTTCTTCTCCTAGGAGCTGGGCCTTTACGTGCATGGCTGGAATTGTTTGTTCGACTTTTCTCGGCGTAATTCTTCTTTTTCTGTGCCCGTACGACTAAGGCTTACCATTTTCTCATTTATGGAAAAAAGGCGCTATTGTGCTCGTCATGTACGTCCGTCTGTCTGTCCGTCCGTCCGTCCGTGACCTCAAATTTTCGTCGACGAGAAAATGCGCTCTCTGTCACTCACTGCAGTGAGTACTGAGTTATATTTTTTTACTTTGCTGTTAAGTCTCGACACACTTCCAGTAGCAGTGAATACTTGAGTTAGTATCTGTGAAATTTAATGTTTGGTTGCAGGTTAAAAATATTGCTTGAAACGTTATTTTCTTTAAACCTCTCGTTCTGATCTTCTTCACATCTAACTATTTATTGAAATTTTAAACCATTGCATTAATTTCACGGCCGCACCCATTTGTTAAATTAATAATTATTTTATTATAATTCTTGTTTGCATCAGTTTATCGTGAAAGGAGATGCATCCTATCCCGCGATGTCGCTTTATCGAGCCTTGGCAACAACGAGCCAAGTTTGACAATCTGGGTTCTTGGTCTCAATGTTGCCTGAAATGAAGGCGGACCATTAAAGTCGAGCCGATGTTGCGGACTGCGGAAGACGATGTCCAAGGTGATGCGGCAGAACTTTGGCAGTCAGAAAAAAGTGTAAAAGAATTGTATTCGGAACTTTATTTTATTGTGTAATTATAATTGAACAATTTTATCAGAAAACAACATAATCGAATAGTGAGTTCGGTTCAGAAAATTATAATGCAACGAATTGTTTTCAATTAAATGCTAAAATTTTACTGAAGCTTGTTGGTTTGGAATGAAGCAATATTAATTTTTTTATTGAAATGAGGTATGATTAATTTATTTTGTGATCAGGAAAGCATTTCAACGTAAACCGACTGTAGAGATCGATTTAGATAAACGGACCCTCATTTTTCCCCGCTTGTTGCTGTGTGTAGCGTTACAAAAACGTCAGTTTAACGACAAAAAAATCTATTTTCTCGGACTTAAACAATCAGTAACATGATCAAAATTATTATAACATGAAATTAATTTGAATTTGTTCGCATAACTTTAATCTTACGCATATCTCCAATACAAAACCTGCACCATATGCAGAAAACCAATTGATTAAAACCTTAATGACCCGGTGCACTAATTTCAAGTTTATGGGATGAAATTTAGCTTCTCCTCAACTCATTATATGACTTCATTTCAGTTCCAATTATTAAGTCCCCAGGAAAACTCTTCCAATTGAACTTCGCAATTGATATCTTTCAGAGATGTCGCATCTAATATCGATAAGTTATTATTCTTGAAGAAGGCTTACTTTATTGCTATTGGATATCGAAGTGGACTAGCGCAAGCGAGGCGTCTGCCGAGCCCTGGCAGCATTCGAATGAAGCAATTTTGTGCGCTGGAGTCAAAATATCGGACGAGCTCCTGGAAAATAAATGAACTGGAGATTGATTCCAGGGCTCTGGTGCTTGGCAATTGGTAAGGAATTCATTTAAAGGAAGTTCATTGACGAGTTCCTTTAATTTCAAGATTCAAGAGGACACTTAAATTGCTAGGAAAATATCTCTGGAAACGATTGAAAGGGCTTACATCTCTGAAAAAGAAATACTTTGAAAGAGGAACTGCATGCATGCTTTACGATTGAAAAGGTAGGTTAATATACTTCCGTATTAGGGAAGGTCACCAGTATCCAAGACTGGTGACCAATGTACCTTCATCGACTTTATTGGTATTTAAAGATATATAATTTTATCCATTAGTCCTGGATAATTTTGTCCTGTAGTCCTCAATAATTTTATCCACTAGTCCTCAATAATTTTGTCCAGTAATCCTGGATAATTTTGTCTATTAATCCTACATAATTGAACCCATTAATTATTCCAGTATAATTTATGTACAGTAATCCTGGACAATTTTATACAGTAATCCCGAATAATATTTTCCATTAATCCTGGATAATTTTGTTCGGCAATCCTTGATAATTTTATCCAGTAATCCTGAACAATTTTATCAAGTAATCCTGGAAAATTTTACCGAGTAATCCTGGAAAATTTAGTCCAGTAATCCTGGATAATTATATCCAGTAATCCTGAAAATTTTTATCAAGTAATACTGAAAATTTTTGTCCAGTAATCCTGAACCATTTTATCCAGTAATCCTGAACAATTTTATCCAGTAATCCTGAAAAATTTTATCAAGTAATCCTGGAAAATTGTATCAAGTGATTCTGGAAAATTTTGTCCAGTAATCCTGGAAAATTTTGTCCAGCACTCCTGGAATGCATCATCATAGGTTGATTTCGTTACAGAGATCAATGGAGTCCCGCACGAGAGAGACAGAGAAGGGAAATGTAAGGAATCCTAGCTACATAATAACTTAATGTAAGGAATCCTACCTACATAATAACTTAACCCCACAACTGAGACCTGCAGTCAGATACTGCGCGCTCAGCGGTGGGGCGCTCAGGAACAATCCCCCTAGGAACGCGAGATCCCATTAGACTTCTGACCCCCCTTAGGGGTAGTTCCTTATATAGTATATATAAACTCCAAAATCCTCCTGTCATTCTCGACAGAAAATTCAAAGGTGATTGTTTTTATATTCGGTGGTTTTCCGGAAACATTTTTTTGCGATACTTTCGTAAATTTAGTCTGCGGCTCTGAATTCAAGTTCGCTTTCCTTGTATACCTTGAGTACCTCAGAGAGAAAAGTAATGTTGAGCTCGTACTAGTTACGAAAATACTCAATGACTATGTGATTAGAACAGCTTCACATCGACTAGCGAAGGTGGAGCGCCTCCGTTAATCACATTAACCGCAATTATTAATATATTCTAACTGCCTTTCGNGCTGTTCCTGCGCGTGTTCTAGAGGCAGTAATGGCGCGTGCTGTTCCTGCGCGTGTTCTAGAGGCAGTAATGGCGCGTGCTGTTCCTGCGCGTGTTCTAGAGGCAGTAATGGCGCGTGCTGTTCCTGCGCGTGTTCTAGAGGCAGTAATGGCGCGTGCTGTTCCTGCGCGTGTTCTAGAGGCAGTAATGGCGCGTGCTGTTCCTGCGCGTGTTCTAGAGGCAGTAATGGCGCGTGCTGTTCCTGCGCGTGTTCTAGAGGCAGTAATGGCGCGTGCTGTTCCTGCGCGTGTTCTAGAGGCAGTAATGGCGCGTGCTGTTCCTGCGCGTGTTCTAGAGGCAGTAATGGCGCGTGCTGTTCCTGCGCGTGTTCTAGAGGCAGTAATGGCGCGTGCTGTTCCTGCGCGTGTTCTAGAGGCAGTAATGGCGCGTGCTGTTCCTGCGCGTGTTCTAGAGGCAGTAATGGCGCGTGCTGTTCCTGCGCGTGTTCTAGAGGCAGTAATGGCGCGTGCTGTTCCTGCGCGTGTTCTAGAGGCAGTAATGGCGCGTGCTGTTCCTGCGCGTGTTCTAGAGGCAGTAATGGCGCGTGCTGTTCCTGCGCGTGTTCTAGAGGCAGTAATGGCGCGTGCTGTTCCTGCGCGTGTTCTAGAGGCAGTAATGGCGCGTGCTGTTCCTGCGCGTGTTCTAGAGGCAGTAATGGCGCGTGCTGTTCCTGCGCGTGTTCTAGAGGCAGTAATGGCGCGTGCTGTTCCTGCGCGTGTTCTAGAGGCAGTAATGGCGCGTGCTGTTCCTGCGCGTGTTCTAGAGGCAGTAATGGCGCGTGCTGTTCCTGCGCGTGTTCTAGAGGCAGTAATGGCGCGTGCTGTTCCTGCGCGTGTTCTAGAGGCAGTAATGGCGCGTGCTGTTCCTGCGCGTGTTCTAGAGGCAGTAATGGCGCGTGCTGTTCCTGCGCGTGTTCTAGAGGCAGTAATGGCGCGTGCTGTTCCTGCGCGTGTTCTAGAGGCAGTAATGGCGCGTGCTGTTCCTGCGCGTGTTCTAGAGGCAGTAATGGCGCGTGCTGTTCCTGCGCGTGTTCTAGAGGCAGTAATGGCGCGTGCTGTTCCTGCGCGTGTTCTAGAGGCAGTAATGGCGCGTGCTGTTCCTGCGCGTGTTCTAGAGGCAGTAATGGCGCGTGCTGTTCCTGCGCGTGTTCTAGAGGCAGTAATGGCGCGTGCTGTTCCTGCGCGTGTTCTAGAGGCAGTAATGGCGCGTGCTGTTCCTGCGCGTGTTCTAGAGGCAGTAATGGCGCGTGCTGTTCCTGCGCGTGTTCTAGAGGCAGTAATGGCGCGTGCTGTTCCTGCGCGTGTTCTAGAGGCAGTAATGGCGCGTGCTGTTCCTGCGCGTGTTCTAGAGGCAGTAATGGCGCGTGCTGTTCCTGCGCGTGTTCTAGAGGCAGTAATGCCCATTACTATTCCAGCACGTGATCTAAAATAAAATGATTGTATTATTCCTTAAGAATAAAACATTTTCGTGCGCAAATTTATTGAATGTTAAAAAAGATTTGATTCATAACTTTGAGCTAGATGAATGACACCTGAATAGGCTATTGGTTGAATATTTCAGAGTCTAGAAAATAATTCTGTCAATTTGTCAATATCTGCGAGTAAGGTTTTAAAAATGATACAAAAACTGCTAAATTTACCGAAAAATTTTTGTGGTTCATTTTCATAACATTTGTATGTACGTTTTTTCCCGCGCCGATAACACAAACGTAAACATGAAAATCTAACAGATTGTTTTGTTGTTCGTACGGCCGGTATAGGAAATACAGAGGCTTAAATTGGAACACTATGATCGTGTATAGTGTTTAAATTGGATGAAAATTGTGTTTAAATTTAAATTGTGTTTAAATTGGATGAAAATTGTGTTTAGATTTAAATTGTGTTTAAATTGGATGAAAATTGTGTTTAAATTTAAATTGTGTTTAAATTGGATGTTTTTAAANATGGGTATGTGTGTGGTTTGGAAATAGGAGGTGGGTATGTGTTTGGTTTGGAAATAGGAGGTGGGTATGTGTGTGGTTTGGAAAAAGAAGGTGGGTATGTGTGTGGTTTGGAAACTGGAGTTGGGTATGTGTGTGGTTTGGAAACTGGAGGTGAGTATGTGTGTGGTTTGGAAAATGGAGGTGGGTATGTGTATGGTTTGGAAACTGGAGTTGGGTATGTGTGTGGTTTGGAAACTGGATATGGGTATGTGTGTGGTTTGGAAACTGAAGTTGGGTATGTGTGTGGTTTGGAAACTGGATATGGGTATGTGTGTGGTATGGAAATGAGATGTGGGTATATATGTGTGCGGTTTGGAAATATAAGGTGGGTATGTGTTGTGCTATTTAAATTGGGGCTGGGTATGTTGTGCTATTTAAATGGGGCTGGGGTTTGAAAATAAATGGTATTAATGCACGTGTTCTTTCTGTGCAGAACGAAGACATCTGCTTCGTTCGCCTCTCCAGAACTTCTTGGGTCGGGGAGCTCGTTGAAAACTCTCAATTTTCTCGGATTTAGCACCAATAAACCTGCTAAATGTATATGATGAATAGAGAACTAATTCAGCCTTCCCTCTGAACAAAAGCGTTTCTTTTATGTTTTCTAAGCGCGTGTCACTCAATTAAAAATAATTTCTTGATTCGTACCATTGAATCTCGTAGTGACACTGATTGATTTTCACTGCCTCATATTCGTTCAATTGGAAATAACACATTCACATTTCACTGAAAAATGGTGAATTTTATCGTATAATCACTCATAACAATGAAAGTGATTTAAATAATCTTGTGCCTAGACACAGATTCGTTCTATCGGGCATCACTCTGCACTACATCTGCAATGTTAACACATTCACAAGTGATGTTGTGAAAGAGCTAGTTCTCACACTTTCTCGACTGTATCTTCAAGCTTTATAATATTCATTAGCTCTTATTCACACATTTTCCCGCCGATTCTTGAACTTTACGTGACTTGATTCACAAGGGATCCGGCCTTTGGAACCCGATCTTTCCATAACTGACGATTGATTGACATAGTTGCTGGACTTATTGCTTATATTGTCTACATAATCCAAAATTATGGAGACAAAATACTCATTGAAGAAACTTTGATTAACGTAACACGCACACACACTCTGCATCTTTACCCACAACAAGATGAAGTGGAGTATAAATCCATTATCATGGATCTATACCTTCTGCATAAATCCATTGCCATTGATTTACACCCTATGTATAAATCCATTGGCGTGGATCTATAATACCCTGCCCTGGATTTATACCCTGATCACAAACCCACTACCCCGGATTTATACCCTGAGCAAAAATCCACTACCCTGGATTTACACCACCACAATGCTGGTGGGTTTGTCGACAAGTACGACAGCGCAGGCCATCGGGCTGCCACATAATCATTGACGGCCTTTCAAGCAAAATCCACCAATCATAGACAAGAAAATAGAGCGTAAGTACCTACGTTCACTTAGCGAGTTTTGAAAGTATGGCCCCTGGCAGGGCTCTGGTGCTTGGCAATTGGTAAGGAATTCATTTAAAGGAAGTTCATTGACGAGTTCCTTTAATTTCAAGATTCAAAAGGACACTTAAATTGCTTAGGACACTTAAATTGCTTAGGACACTTAATGAATGTGCTACTAAGTGAACGCGCTGCGTGTGATCGCTTTCACCTACACTCCTGTGAATGTGTTTTGTGAATGCGCTGCCTTTTTTTGGATTTAAATTGCTTAGAAAATATCTCTGGAAACGATTGAAAGGGCTTACAAATTTTTGAAAAGGGAATTTATATTGTACAGCGATGTAGAAGTTCTCTTATTTGTACATGTTTTTGAGTGCTGCAGTTTGGCTAGATTGCGGTTTCTTTGCTCAAGATGATATTATTTGAAATTATTTCCAGCAAAACACATTTTTAAACGCTCAATTTGCTCGAAATAAACTGCAAGGAAAATTAAGAATCAAACGAAGATAAGATATATATTCGTATTACAAGTGGAGTTTACTTTTAATACTCTGAAAAAGAAATACTTTGAAAGAGGAACTGCTTTTTGTCCAGCACTCCTGGAATGCATCATCATAGGTTGATTTCGTTACAGAGATCAATGGAGGAGGCAGAACGCGCTATATAACTTACTTTAGGGGCGCATGAGCGTCAAATATACCCTAGATATACCCTATATACAGTACATAATATACCCTAGATATACGTCCAATATACCCTAGCTATACCCTAGAATATACCCAGTCTTGCTCGCTAGAAAAATGCACGTCTCTTCCTTAGAGCGACGGAACTCTTGAGAAGATGGCGCGTTATTCGCTTAATAAAAGAGCTTCCATTGCAATTTATTTGCAACAATTCCTACCCATTGTACAAATTCAAATCTCCTTACCGATTGAGCATCGGGATATTACTAGTATTTATTTCCAGTTTTTTGCAATTATTCTCTAGAAAAGTCTTGTTTAATTGGAAAAATAATTTCGAAGTAAATTGGAAAAAAAATTTCTAAGTATTCGTTTTATAAACGCAATATTTTCTGATGTATTAAAGCTAATGATAATACGTTAACTGCGCAACATTTATTTTATCATCACCCACGATAAAATAGATTGCAAAAAATTTAATTTACCATTATTATTATTTTTATTCGATATGCTTAATAGTTTCATCGAATTTCGAACAAGAAATATTAAATTCCCTGGAGTAAAATTCAAAGCTTCTGAAAAAAACGACGTTGCCACACCATGCCACGAGGCAAGCAGCCGCAGTTTGCAGAGGGATTATCCCCTAGACACACAGACTTTGTTTTGGTGGATTTCCCTCGGTATCCTGGTAGCTTTATTCTTAGGTGTAAAGTCGTCAACAAGATCGTGCATACTCTTGAGAAGGGAAGTGTTTCTTTAAACGCTGTCGCCGATACCGCTTCAGGGATCGTGCTCAGTGCCATAGAGATGCTTCTTTTGGTTAAAATAATGTTAATTTTAAAGTGAACATTTGAGAGTGATTTTGGTGCTTGATTTTAAGTTGTTTACTGTTGTTATATTATGGTTAATGACGTAATGTTGTTTCCTAGTGTTCTGTTTTTGCCTGATGTTATGTTGTTGACTGACGTTGTGTTGTTTATGGGTTTGAATTAACAATCAAATGTGCCTTTAATAAGCGTAGCATTGCTTTCGTCGGTTTATTTCAACCCATGGGTAATGTTAATTAATACTTCAACATTATTTTATTTTCATGGCTTGACGAGAAGAATAGAAAAACGTCTTAAGACTCACTTCAGTTCACAATGTTCTGCTAGTAGACCATTTAATGCTGAGTGCTTAATAAATGACTCGACTATTAAAAAATGAAAAAAGAAAATGATGCGTCCAACCATTTTTAATGGCCAACTTGTATTGAAAATGGCCGCTGCAGACACTGGTATATAATGTTAGGTGGACGCTGACTCGGCATTCACATTTTAGAGCTCACATCTTCTACTATATTTCGTGATCAAAATTTTCTTGAATTACTTGGTTTGCGTTTTAGTATCCGTCTGTTTTTTGGCAGGACCAATCGATTGATTTTTTTTCCAGTGTTTCTTACGATGGAGAGTTGTTTTCGATGTACTGTAAACTGCAATGAAAATTTTCTTGAATTGTATTTTAGTATCCGTCAGTTTTTTGCAAGACCAATCGATTGATTTTTTCCAATGTTTCTTCCACCTCTACGGTACGTTGGTTTTAATGTAAACTGCAACAATATAACAAGATTAAATAACGTTTTTCCCAACTCCCATTGTAATGATGTCACATTTTATTAAAGGAAAATAACAATAGCATCTTTTCTGCAACAAAATCAATTTCATCTGGGAAATTAAAACTTGATTTACCATGTATTGTGATAGTCGGTTTTGGTTCATTGTTAATCATGGTGTAAGATTACTCAACTCATTATGTCGAGGAACCATTTATTTCTTTCGGAAAATATATCCTGACATTGCGACGTTGCTGAAATTGCGACATGATATATTTATATCAATTATATTAACGATAACTTAGCGTGTATTGGAGGTTCACATTTTTTCGCGTATAACTACATTAAATTGGATTATGTACTTACATTTTTACTTTATATGTACTTACGTTTTACATATACTTAACGTTATAACGTTTACGTATACTTAATGTTATATGTACTTACGTTTTACGTTTTCGCTGGAAGTCTCTTAGTTTAGTCAGTTTCTCGACACAGTTTTTTTGCCCATTCTTCATGTCGTGCTCGTTTCTGTAAATCGCTCAAGAGGCCACATGCATAATGACTAAACTTTAGCTATCACTAATAGTGGACTTATTGTACTTAGAAGAGTGAAACTTAGCCTACGGTACTTAGAAGAGTGAAAAAACTTCAAGTATAATTAGATAAAGTGATTAGATACGTTTTCAATAGCGAAATGTTGAATTTTTGTGGCGTTTCCTTCGCTTTTAAATTTCTAGTGAATCTGCGATTCAAGCAGTCTAGTGACATTATTACTTAGATAAAGACGATTTTAGCAATGAAACTTTACTGCATGGGAGTTTATACCCTCTCGTAAACAGTGAAAAATACGATTTTATTGGTAGAAAGTATATAAAAAATCTGAATATCTTTTCGGAGCACAAAAGTAACTCAAAAGTTTATCCTCAATCCTCTAATTTGTAGTTCAGCAATAAAATATTCACAAGTAAATATTCGACCGTGCATATCATTTAATTAATTTGATAATATTGATGTTCAAATAAATGTTCAATTTTGTCATATCAAATTTTATGTTTGTAGATATCACTTGATTATCTAGAATGATGCCTTACATCGAGAACAGGAGACTACGATATCATGCATCCAAGAAACTTGTAATTGCATTTAAATATTGAAACAGCTTGTGTTCAGATTAATTTTTAGATTTCAATTGTTTGAGCCGAATGAAACATTATGTGATGGGAAATCTTGGCAAATAATACTCTACAAATTAGCATATATTTCATTATCCGAACAATGTGTGACTGACTTAATTGGGAGGTAATATGCATGTGCTATCACGTCCGCAATTCTATGTCGCTGTTCCAAGCCGAACAGCGAATACGGCTCTTAATGTTGCGGATGATTTGAGCCTCGCAATAAATGAAGAATTTCATAATAAATGCATATATATATATATATATATATATATATGCGCATGCGATTTTTTCAGATCTATCGCTAGTTAAGCTGCTGATCGATCGCTTAGTATATGCAAGTAAACGTTTTCTTCATTTTTTTCATCTCTGAGATGCATATCAAGTCCTTCATTGTGAGTTGAAACCTATATAAATTCAAAATGATGTTAATTTGACGCTAAATTCAATTATATTTGTAACAAGATTCAATTCACATTAGACACCGATATTTATAGGTCTATTTTAATGTTTTTGCTTACTTTGCCGAAATCAAAAGGCCTTGCAAATCTACATTTAGCCTAAAAAAGTATGCCGTGCTCCTGGAAATCAGGCTTCTATATCCAATAAACGGACTCAGCACATCGCTTCGCCTCCTGCCTTTTGAATCGCTGGCGATACCTTCACTTAAAACCCCGCCTCCGTGAAGGCTGAAAATGTTGAACTTGCGAAAGATATTCTTTATGAACGAATTGAACGCCTTCACAAGGGACCGCTTGTGAGTTAGGAGGTAGGTAAGATACATGTTTCATATTGAACTATCAAACTTCGCGTAGGATATTCTTTATGAACGAATTGAACGCCTTCACAAGAAACCGCTTGTGAGGTAGGAGGTATAGGTAGGATACATGATTCATATCAAACCTTCGCGTAGGTTATTCTTCATGAACGACTTGAGGATAATGCCTTAAACGCCTTCACAAGGGACTGCTTGTGAGGTAGGATGTTTCATATTAAAATATCAAACTTCACGTAGGATATTCTTTATGAACGACTTGATGAGAATCCCTTATAAGGTAGGATGTTTCATAGTAAAAAATCAAGCTTCGTGAAGGATATTCTTTATGAACGACTTGAGGAGAATTACAATATTTCTGTTACCCCAATTTGTTAAGAGGGAAGATCAAGGATAGAATGATGCCTTACATCGAGAACAGGAGACTACGATATCATGCATCCA